AATTCGACCCAGCACGCGACCGCCTTCCATGCCGCCTTTTCACCCCGAGGCACCGCCGGGTGGACGGCCGCTGACCAGCAGGGCGACGCACAGCGGGGCCGGTCATGGTTCGGTCCGCGATTATAGTCGGCGAGGGGACAGTGTGGACGACAGGCCCGTCCCTGCTGATACGGGCGTGAACGTCGAGCGCCTTGAACGTTTGTTCAGTGATTGTCCAAACATACGGAGAGAGGTCGGGGACCTAGTGGTACGGCGGTTCCGGGAGGGAGCGGACATTGGCTACTGCGGACCAGGCCACGGACGGTTCACAACCAACAACCGCTCGGCCACCTCGCGAGTGATGGGAGTGTCCGCCGCGATAGAACGAGAAGTGCAAACGGGGTGCACCCGAGGCCCATTTGAATCACCGCCGTTCGAAAATTTCACGGTGAACCCATTGAGTGCTCGGGACAAGCCAAACGGGGACGTGCGCCTCATACTGGACCTCTCCCAGCCAGTGGGCAGTGCTGTGAACGAGGGGATCGATCCAGCGGAGTTCCGAGTGGTGTACACCTCAATCGACGAGGCTATACGGCTCATTTATTTAGTCGGGGGCAAAAATGCCCAATTATTCAAGGCGGACATTAAAAACGCGTTTAAGTTAATACCGGTGCGGCCAGATCAGTGGCGACTGTTAGGGTTTCAATGGTCAAATGCGCTGTATTACCAGGTATGTCTGCCCTTCGGCGGTCGCAGCAGCCCACGGCTGTTCAATGACTTTGCAGACTGCCTGGAAAAGTTATTTCAGGCGAACGCTGGCGGTGTATTTGTGCGACACTACCTGGACGATTTTTTCGGTGTCGGACCCGCGTTTTCAGCGGACGCGGCAGAAACGTATGACAAGATACTGACTTTGTGTCGCGAGTTAAATGTGCCGTTGGCGAGTGACAAGTGTCTGCCTCCGTCCAATCGCATGGAGCTGTTGGGCGTAGTGCTCGACACGGACCGCATGACGGTTGCCCTGCCAGATCGGAAAGTGGCCGACCTCCATCAGGCGCTCGGAGCGCTGGCGGGCCGCCGGAAATGCACACAGCGGGAGTTACTGTCGTTAGTGGGAAAACTTACGCAGGCCAGCAAATGCGTGCCGCCCGGGCGCGCATTCACACGGCGATTACTAGATGCAGCTTATGCTGTGAACGGCTTGCAGAAACGCATACGCGTCAATGCAGCGATCCGGGCTGACCTGGACTGGTGGCGTTGCTACCTGCCGCTCTGGAACGGCAGCTTCCCTATGGTGCCACCTGCAGAAGTGGAGACCGCTACCGTGACCTTACACACGGACAGCTCGCGCTGGGGGATGGGGGCGTGTCAGGGCGGCGAATGGTGGTCAGCGGAATGGCCCGACGAGATCAAACAGGCGACATCTCTGTCCATGACGTGGCTCGAACTCATCCCGGTCATGATCGCATGCCTCGTCTGGGGAGACAAATGGGGAGGAAAACGGGTGCGCATTTACTCAGACAATATGGGCGTCATAGGAGTGTGGGGTAGGGGATGGTCCGGGAATGCACAGATAATGTCTTTGATCCGCCAGCTCCTATTCTGGACAGCATACAAGAAGTTCATTATCGACATCGCGTACGTCGCCACAAAACAGAACGGAGCGGCGGATGCGCTCAGCCGGAATGACGTTGCGCGTTTCCGGCGACTGCGCCCCCATGCATCGCAACGACCGGTCCCGTTGCCGTGCACGCTGCGCTCGTACTTGGCAGACCCCGTCGCCGGCGCCCATCGGCTAACAGGCTTTCAGCTCTAGAGTGCTGACCCCTGCTGTGTAACGGGGCGCATGTCCCCACCAGCCTCCTGCCTGGAATGTTGTTTTGCCTAGTCGAGAATACACACCTTTTCTGTATATCCGTTTATACATTCTGCTCCGTTGGCGTGTTTGGCGTATTGTTACCGCTCAGGACACGAGCGGTAATACGAGTCGGGTGCAGACGGCCATCAACAGCCAAAGGTAATGCATGTGATGAGCGAACGGCATGAGACACCCTAATCAGGGATAGGGACAGCCTATCGTCGATTAGGGGCTCGATTAAAGTGAGCAGACGGGGGTGACACAGAACGAGCAATCGAAAAGAACATGGGCGGTAGACGGCGGGCGGCGACAAGAGGAGGCCGGCGCGGAGAGCGAGGTGGCCTGAGACGGGACAGGGGCGCTGGGCCGGGCCGCGCCGAGATAGCGCACGACAAACAGAGGGGATGGAGCGGAGGGGAGGGGAGAGAGAGAGGAAAACACGTGGGGTGACACAGTCGGCGACGCGAGCGCGGAGGTGAAGGAGGGTGTAGAGAACGCGTCGGAGTGACAGACGGCGAGAACGGAAAAGTAACCCACCCTCCATCCCCATTTTATTGTTACTTTGATGATGATGATGACTATTATATTAGGTAACGCCTCCTAGCATCATTCGTCGTCGGCCCGTATTGTTACCGCTCAGGACACGAGCGGTAATACGAGTCGGGTGCAGACGGCCATCAACAGCCAACACATCGTTACCTTCTTTCTGCATCTCCTCTTCTCTCGCCCCCTCTTTTCACCTTCTATCCCTCCCACCCTCCCTCCCTCTCTCTCTCTCTCTCTGTCTCTCTCTCCCTCTCTCTCTCTCTCTCTCTTTCTCTCTCTTTCTCTGCATTCTGAAGACAACTCCGTTCGATTTTTTACACTACTGCTGACGCTGCCTGTCGGCCTGGCCGCCCCTCCCCGTTCCCATCGTCGCATTCTGCAGACAGCAGATGCAGAGCCGATTGTGAGAGTGGCAGGCCATGTCCCCAGGCGCTGTGCTCTCCTGAGACCGGGCTGAGACGCTGGGAGGGCGAGCACAGCCGGCGGGGACCCAGCTCGGGGGCGGACCCTCCCCCCGAGATTGACTGAGGGAAGGGATTCCCTGGCGATAATAAGAGGAGACGACCAGGCAGCATTGGCGCTGGGCAGTGTCTGCCGGATAGAAAAAAAGGTTTTTGGCCATTGTGATCAATTGAGCGTTGTAAGGCATCAGCAGCGGTAAGGAAGAGATCCAGTTTCTTTAAATCGAACACTTATGGACGAGCCGCCTGCTTTTATGAAACCGAAAAGGACGCTCCAACTGCATCCTACAACAAGCGGGGAATAATGCTGACAGTGTAATTGCTAAACTATCAGTAGTAGCCCGAAGCACACTCGCATGGTGCTTTTTGAACGTTACAAAAAGCTTCACGAGAGCCTTAACTTTCCTAAAAGTGACCTATGCTATCGCAAGGGTTTAGGAGAATTTCTCGCAACTCTTCGCCGCGCCGCTGCTGGAAGACAGGTAGTGCCATTACGGGGCACATGTCCTCTCCAGAGGGAACTTGGCTGGCCGTCTAATTTGTTCGGGAAGGAAAGAGAGCGCCGGCGCTCGCCGCGAAGCAGAGCACCTAATGCCCGAGCCGCAGAAAGGCACAGAAAACTTTGCCATATGGGAAAGTTGGTAAAAGTTAGTCTGATGAAAGCTAACGCAGGGACCAACTCGAACAAAGTCTAATCAGCTGAGATAGGAAAAATATAATCCTCGATTAATATTCAATGCAGCATGCCATTTTTTTTTTTTTTGTGGCGAATGCCTTATGCCACAGACAACACAAGAGCTGCAGATGTCATTCTTTATTCGTTGGGAAACATGCTGGAAAGTCATGCACAAAGTGTATTTGTGTGCTTACTATGTAATCCCATATACATATGACTGCACCACTGCACTGTCTACATATGGGACAGACGGATGACTTTAAAATCGATTGTCTATGGAGTTTGAAATCATAATATCTAACCAAGGCCTGATTACAGTTTTTGATATTTTCCCGAATGATCTTATATCGGAATTTCCATCTTAGAGATGACTCAGGTGTCTGCTCAGATCCATTTCCTCTCCACCGAACTTTTCCACCCTAACTGCTCTTAAGAGCCAATATCCGCGCGACAGCTCGCGGGCGGGGGCTGAGAGCGGCCTCTGCCCCTGGGGGCGCCGTGGAGAGGGGGCGGGGGGCGGTGGATCCGGGCAGGGTCAGCTGGGTAAAGGAGCGGCCGGTGGCTCCGCCGGGACCGAGCGTCGCCTGCCCGGCCACAATCTGCCCCCGCGAGGCTGACATGGCTTGCTCGTTACGAGAGCGGGCGCACCGGCGTCGGCGGCCGTCACCGGCACAAGGCGTCATCGATCGGTCCCCGCAGGTCTCCGCACCGCCGCCGGTCCTCACTCGGCGCGCCGCCAGCTAGGTGTGTGTGTTTCTAACAAAAATGTGTGCTCTAGATAAATAATTTCGTTGGTTTTATGGCAACGCATTGGAGCTAATTATTGCTTTACATTTCGATAACATTAGACTTAAATTCAGATTGTGTTAATGACATCAGTTTGGGAGGGGGGTGGAATAATGCTCGATATCTGTAAAAAAAAAATCCAGCGTCCCATCTAACATGAAACATCCACTGTGAAACGGTACAAAGTTAAAGCTCTGGCTTACCCATATCGCTTATATGAACCGTTGAACAATGTCATTGGAGTTGAGCTTTCAATACTCACTAAAATGCACATGGTCAATAATGGCGACACTATGCTACAATATGCATTTGTCTCACCCACACACGGGCATGGGCTGCGTCCGAGAGCCAACCCCTGTAACGCTGTGCGGCGTATGTCGGGGTCATATGGTGTCCATATGTGACTGAGTGGTCACATTAGCCGTGTCAATACCACGGCGATAACATGTCAACGATAATGGCGCACGTTGGCCGCGCCTGCCTCGAGAGCTGATAAGCACTGCCCACGCCGCGCCCACCTACTGCTTCAACTTGATAACTCCTCAGCATATGGTGCCGACATGTCCTTTCACAATGGTAATGCTTTAATTCTAGTGCGGTAGAACTTTACCGTATGCACAATATCCCGTATTCAGATGGCAGCTAAAGTTTCCCACACAGTTTCCACCTTCCTTGTCAAACTCCCCCGCCTCACCTAAGATGGCGACGACCATGTCGGTCTGTACGACCTCCATGCTGCCGTTGCAGAGGTAGTAGATGTAGTGCAGCGCATCTCCGCAGTGCACCAGGTACTCTCCGGGCGCACAGAAGCTGTCCTTGACGTGCAGCGAGAGCAGCTTCTGGCAGCCGGTGGAGGCGGTGACGAAGATGGGCAGCTGCAGCAGCTCCCGGTGAATGTGCATCGACACGTCGCCGCGCAGCTCCTCCGGAAAGTCGTGCAGAATCTGTGGGAGAAAATGAAATGTTGGCGAGCTAGTGAGTGGTTAATATCCGGGGATCCCAGAAATTCAGTATTTTCATTTACTTAACATTTATCGATGCATGGTTGTGGATCTGCTCACGCTTGACCATCAGCCGTCAATCTAAAAATAGGTTTCTCCTGAGCCAATCATCCACTTATGTGTAATTTCCTTCCCTCTGTTTTGAAAGCGAACACGCTATTTGCTATAGCCTTGACCTCATCAAAGCACGGGACTGCACGAGCTGTTCGGTGGATGCGGTCAGCAGCTAACGAACCGGCAGCACGGCCAATGGCGAGCTGCGTCATCGATACAGTCGGCCGAGGAAGGAGAATGGAGAACAGGATGACTTGTGTGTGTGCATTAAGGGAGAAGTTACCAAGCTGCAAGTGCACCTGGTATTTGTTAAATGTGGAAGTGATGAATGGCTTCGTCTGATGAAAAGAGCAGATCCTAATTATGTACAAAGTGCAATATTCAAAGTTCTGCTAGATGGCTCTACTTATTGCCAAACTTCAAAAGTGTTCACGATTAGGAGTTGGTGGAAGTCCACTACTTTTAACAAGACGACCACTTCTTGTTATTGAGAGTGGCGTATTTCGAAATATAAATGTGCGTCTAGGAACGGCAAGGTTTTGTCCAACTATCAAGTACCACATTACTCGAAGTGCTGTACGCTCACAGCGACGAAAATGACGGTTCTATTTTTTGTCTTTATTGATTTTTCTATTATATCACGGGAAATCTATCGACACAAGACACAGCAATGCCATTAATCTGCGTGGGTTATTCGGTTGGTCTGGCTGAGGACAGGATCAGCGGCTTCAAACCGAATAACATTCCAGTAAGCCAGCAAATTGGAAGGTTAATAAGAGAGCCCGGAACAGCACGATAGTAATTGGTAGCTTACAATGACACTAATGCGCTATGTATTTTTAGATGAAATAGTTAAACACGTAGCACGCACTGATTCTGAGTGTGGCTGCGATTGATAGGTATGAACTGTGCATGCGCCATTACTACAAAACTATTTGGGATAAGCTTTACTCACAATTAGGAAATTGGAAGCTTTACCGATAAAACAAGACTATTAACCAGCTTTTCCTGGCAAAAGTGTGAATTACTTCTGTGCTTTCAGGATCAAGGTCGAATTTTGTCCGTCCGTTCACCGGGCGGGCTCGCCGACACATGCTATCCCGCCGGACACTCATGTAATGCGGCACAGCATGCGTCAGGCGGTAACAGACCATCGTGGAGGAGCCCGCCAGCCAGCCCTCTTGGCCCGCCATCTTACCTCGCCCATGTCGATGCCGTGGTTGAGCGACCACATAGTCTGGAAGTAGTCCTGTATCCGCTGCTTGAGCTCCTTTGGAACCTGAGGAAGTAGACATTTGAGGGTCGTAAACACAACAAAAACCGAATATCAGCAAACAGAACAACAAAGAAACCAAACTAAAGGAGTATTTATTCAGTAATAGAAATCTAAGTCAAATGAATAAAACACCACGACAAACTTCATGTGGATATTTAGGTCTTATTTTCCACTGTCATAACATCCTATTATTGCAGCAATCATGCAAATACTGATGCGGCTTTGTGAAATCAAGATTCAACTTACTTGGTAGAGTGTGAGAAAATCATTCAGGTCATTCCACTTGGAGTCATACAATGAGCGTTTAGCATACATTCTTTGTACTATTGCTGTCACATTTCCGAATACTGCTGCGTGCATCAGAGCTGAAATCAGAGAGAATCATCCAAGTCAAGCTTGTGTTCGCATTTCTCACTAACGCCACTCAGCTGTGCTTTTATTTCTTCGGGATGGACATTGGACAGTAGTTTGTCCTCTTAAGCTGTCCTTATTTTCAGCTCATCAAAACTCCAGCATCAAGCGCAGGCTTCCTATTTCCCCGGCTGGGCCGCAGCCCGCGCTATATATGCACACCTTGAACCGTACCCCAGCCGCAGCCGTAGGTAGTCAGCCTATACCTTAGGCGGTGATTGGTCCTGCCGGAGCGGCGCTGCACCTTGAACCGTTGCCGCCCGGCTGCTACCGTAGCCCGCGCTACACCTTGAACCGTTGCCGGTGAGCGCCCTACCTATAGCCCGCGCTACACTTCGAGCGCTGCCGCCCGTCCGCTATTCCGTAGCTCGCGCTATCTCCTTGAACCGTTGTCGCCCGGCGCTACCTATAGCCGGCGCTATCTCCGTGAATCGTTGTCGCCCGGCGCTACCTATAGCCGGCGCTACACACACCTTGAACCGTTGCCGGTGAACGCCCGGTTAGACGGCTGGCCTTATTGATCGGCCGGCCGCCGGTCTCGGCTCGGCAAATCTCCCCCTCCGGGCGACTCTCCGGGCGACTCCCCGTCCCTGATCCGCTCACGGCTGTCGTCACAGCTGTACTCGCTAAGCCCCGACAAGGTAAACAGAGACAGGTCCGCGCTCAGTGGGGGAGCGATTTGCCCGACGCTTCACTCGCCCAGGCGCTGCCCAGCGTCGATGGCTCGCAGAGGAGAAAGGCTCACGATGTAGCCGGTCGGGGCTTTCTTCCGCTAGTTAGTCCCACAGTAGTCTCATCATTTCCCCATAAATATGCCATCATATGCAAGTGAATAAGCCAGCTATAGTTTTCTTAACCCTCGCACGACCAGGCCATTTCTCATAACACGAACGACCAGGGGGGGGGGGGGTTGTTACGACCCCCCCCTGGCGTTTCGAAACGGAAGGTCGTAGAGCTTAGCGGAAAAAACCAACGGATTGCTCTCAACGAGATCTCGCGATTGGTGGTATATTTTTTGGTCCTAGGTCAACATTTGACCTACTTTTGACCGGTCAAAGGTCAAATTTTCGGAAAAATAGACTTTTTTCAACTTTCGGCGGCGATTGCGGCAAAACGGTGGGAGATATCGACTTGAAACCTTCACTATCGTGTTCCTTGATCAATTTTCTATCGTTTGGTATGTATTTCGTTTCCCTAGCTCTAAAAATGGCGCGTTGGGAGCGCCGGAAGTCGGCAAGGTCACAGTCGGCGGCAGAAATTCGAAAAATCAAAATTTAAATTTTTGAAATCTGATTGTATTTTTGGATTTGGGAGGTCCATTTGCTCCCTATAGAAGCTAATATTGCTGCATATTCCCATTGAGGTGACAAGAATTAGCAAAATAGTGGTTCGGGCGCTTTTCAAAAATAGTACCGGACGCTGTTCCTCTTGTGACGTCATATCTCCGTGACCTGACCTGACCCGGTCAAATTTCTTATACCATATGATAGCCAATACTTGCCCCAACATGCATGGGAAGTTTCATCACGATCCATCAACCGATGTCCGTACCACCGGCAGGAAACCTCGGGCGTTGGCACTCAGTTTGTGAAAATCTGGCCGGAGGCTGTACCTCTTATGACGTCATAACTCCGTGACCTGACATGACCCGATCAATTTTTTTCGGCAAAAGATGCGCAAAGGTTGCCCCAGAGGGTATTGAAAATTTCAGCCCGCTACGACAAGCCGTTTAGCGTGCACTTTGAAAAAACCTCAGGGGGGGGGGGTTGATACAACCCCCCCCTAGGCGTTCTAGGGTTAAACTTGCTCTGGATTTTGACACATAAGGCCATAGGCATGATTTATTAGATCCCCGCCCCATAGAATTGGAATGTCTGGCATTAGTAGCATCGCCGACATATTGCATTCCTATTCAGTTTCAGGATATCAGAACCGGAAAACTTAAAACGCTGCCATTATTGGGAGTTTCAGGCTGACAACTCGGCTACGGAATGTGATCAATTTTTAAAGAAGAAACGGAATAATAGGAAACCAAACCAGTGTCGCTTTTATTCGAAAACAGAAGCTCAGAGGACCTAACGTCAAACCCCACCATATCACCCACGGTGCATTTGGACAAAACATTTCTTTCCACCTCTTAGTCAGGAAGCATTATCACTTTCAAGGACACTAATGCACTTTGCATTTCTCGTCGACGAGCCCGACAGCTATCGACCGTCCGCCTGCAGTCGGACTGAAACCACCACCAAATGTGACGGCCGTCAGTCCCACCTGCCGGGCGCTGGACACGTTTCACGCCGGCCCTGGCCCGCGGCGGAGCGGCCCCCGGGGAGCGGCAGCGGCCTGGTTACGCCGCCGTCACCGGAGACAACGCCAGAGCAGCTCCGAGAACGGCCCGACGCCGACATGAATTTTACATCAAAGCCCGACCGGCGCGATGGCGGTGTTCATTATTTCATGGTAATGCAGCTCCGATGGACAGGTCGCAGGTTCGGTGGTGAGTACTGCTGATGTGATACTAGTCAGTAAAAGGTTAGCGCTGCATAACACATCACGGTGCTCTGCTGTGTGACACCGCTGGGGGCGAGAGTGACCTATGTAGGAATTACTGATTCCTGGAGATTTGCCAGAGTGTGGTAGGGGGCGGCGTTCGCCTTTACATGTGGAACTGTAAAGGAACTACTGTGGTTTGAATTTGATGCGATTGGTAATATTCGATATACCATGATGATATTGTCCATCAAACCGACAGACAGAAGTTTTCATAAATTGCATACAAAACGTATGCGCAACAGGAGCAAAGTAATTGTAAAACAACGTCAATCTGACCGTTTAGCTTCTGTTTAGCCGAACAAGCGCTCTGAGTAACGACATTTAACGGCCAGTTAGCAGCTGAGACGGCCAATTATCGCCATCACACTGCGTTAAGCGCTGTCGGCTCTGGTAATTATCACAGAGACCTCACCGGGCTGCTCGGCGCTCAGCGCTTTTAAAGTTTGCCAAAAATTATTATTTTCATATATGCACATGCAAGGATGACTAAGCACCTCGAGAATAAAAAGGATAAAACTAAAATTTCTGGAAATGCTCTTGAACTTTTCACAAAATATCAACATATCAAAGACATTTCTTTCTTTTTTCGATTAAATGTAGTATCATGATACCAATGAAATTACTTTTAACATTCAACACATCTAAAAAGCATAAGTAGTCCTCTGGCACGTTCATCTCGGCCCTTCTCAGTGCGTCATCTCACCTCCGACAAGCATCACGACGACGCTGAAGATTTTCTCCGTGTTGGTGTTGGCACTGACGTTGCCGAAGCCGACGCTGGTCAGGCTGGTGCAGGTGAAGTAGAGAGCCGTGATGTACGACATCTCCGTGGTCACATTGTCCACAGGCAGGTGGAGACGCTCCGCCAGCTGCGGTATCCAGCCTGGCGAGACAGCGACAGCAGGAGAGTCACGAGCTAGAAAGACTCCGATGGTCTCTAAACGGGTATGTCAGGACGGGCCCGTCACCCAACGCGTCTGGGGTACGAGTTTTGATAGAATATAGATAAGAAAATGGGCGGTAACACTAGGAGCATGAGTTGCTTTGGAAATGGGTCGCTACCGGACTTTGGTCAAAGCTAATGAAATCCCATCTCAATGTACGAACATTCATTTCGAATACTGATGCGCCGCTCTTCGGATTTACAGCATGAGACCAGAATCTCTTATGACCGTATGTACCTACTGTGAATAAGAATTCAGCGTGATGCTTTGTACTCCCTTTATACTAGTAAGTGCTTGACAGCCTTAGCATTGCCAAGCTCAGAAGTTCTTATGTAATTTTAATGGCTTGTTGCTGGTTGATGTTATAGCTGCAGACAAATTGGTATTCGTCGCCAGAAGAAATGTTTCTAAAAGTGTGCCAGAAAATTGCCCAGTCCGCAGTACCGCTAGCTAAACGAATATCGCAATATTTACAAGGAAGCGTAAACAGATACCACATATTTATTTATCTTTTGCCCAGTAATGCTTAGCCTTTTTAAGGAAATAAAGAAAGGAATTATTTCACAAAACCAAATTCCATTCACTTTCGATAACGTTGTTGTCAATCAAGCGCAGCCTCATTTCGTTTCCTGTTCATCCATTGGCCTTCACAGAACCCAGCTTCAATCAATACGTCCATGGTCCAGATTGCTGATGACCCTGAACTTTTCGAATTTTATCTCTAATCGATCTCGCTGTCCCCGCCCGCTGGCGGCGATAAAATGTCGTCATAAACCCCGCAGCATGCATATATGCAATATGCACCATTAATGCACGCAATATGCCCATTGCCCACAACATAGTGGAGGCACGGCTGGTGTTATTTGGCGTTGTTTACCACCGCTGCGCGAATCATAGCGCCAGGCAGGCCGGAACGGACGATCAAATGTCATTCAGCTGATGACCTGAGCAGTCCATATGAGCATGCTCCGCGCGTGTGCGTAATTCCCAACAATCCTCCTTTGTGGGCGGCTCGTTCTGTGAGTCAGTCGGAAGCAGAGGCGAATTGAGGCAGTCCCTGGCACTAGCAGAGGGAGCTCATCGTAGCGAGAACGGAGGCATATCAAGACTCTCCATGACGAGAGCGAAACAAATTAACAAACAAATCTACATGATTAGAGGCAAATTTTGACTCATCGTGTCCGAAGCGGAGACATGTCGAAGCTTCAGTGGCGTACTTTGAGACAAACCATCGCAATACCTGAGACAAATCGAGACCGTCAGCTTGGCGACCGTCAGAGGCACAGCGACCCACCCCGTAGGACTCCAATAAGTTGGCAATGCGAGGCGTCTGTCAATATCTGAACCGAGCCAGTCTCGCTAATTACAGACAGCTAAGCGACGAACCGCGTTCTGTATCCGCATCGTGACAGAAAATGTCGCGGGAGCTTCTGAGATCGGAGTTTCATCCTGCAGAGGATGAAATCCTGTCGGATTTCGATTTGTTCTTGTTTGAAGGTTGCCGGGCAGAACGGACTCTCAAAGATAAACGTTCAAAGGTACAGCGAATGATTGTTGTGACAGCCTTTGCTTGCTTCAGCCGACTGATTCAGTAGAATTATTGACTGATGAGATACTAGATGAAGATTTGAATACCGGTATTGATTGAGAGACTAACAGGAAAGGCAGGTGTTTTCACTTTTCTCTGATGCGTTATGGGTAACATTGCACGCTGCTTCATGCTGAAAAAGTAGTTTGCATGCAAATCATGATCTCATTTCTAGATTGTGTTTGTTTGTTAAGCATCTATGGTAGCTTTCTACATTACATTCTGGATGTTTTCCATTTCTCATTACCACTCAAACCAGCCTGCGCAATCGGCCGAAACTACCTATGTGCTATATGTGCCCTCATTTTGTCGCGGTCCACGTGACCACCGGGCCAAATGGGGCTAGAGCTCGCGTTATCGCTCGAGCGGCACCTGAAGTTTACCACGGTCGATTTACTCTCTGCTCAGGCCGTGAAAATGACCTCTGCTGAAAAGCGTCGCCCACCAGTGGTGTCTGAACTAATGGGAAAAGTTGTGTGAGGCCGGCCATGGGCTGTCCCCATGAGTCTCGATGACCTACGGTCGGCGCAGTGGAAAACGGTGTGGGACTGTGCTTTGCTGCTGGAGACAGCGGCAGCGAAACGGCCACCTCAGTAGTTTTAGATGAGGTTCGGGATAGGCACGGGAGCTCTGCAGGGTGTCTTGAGAATCCGTTGTCATTGCCATTACACGTGCAGTGCTGTCTCATGAATGAAAAGACGTGATGGGAGAGTGAATAAATGTGAAATGGCACACGGTTAGAAGGCGGGACTTTCTTAGCCCATCAGACCATCAGCTCTGTTCTTTCCAACCTCACACATACCCGGGGAAGTCGTTTATCAAAGGAATGTCCTTATTGCCTCGAGTTTACTCGTAGAGCCGTGACCGTCACAACATGTGGAAATGACATCTCTTTCGTCAGGGCATCACCCAACAAAGCTGGAACCATATCACAAATATGAGAACAGTAAAAACGATACAATGCACATATTATTTTTCTATAAAAAAGTTGCGTTCCAACTCCCGACTGCTGCCGGTTCAGTAATTTCATCACAAGCTTTTAACACGCGCACTGCAGCGGGTCTGAGCCGAACACGAACTGCAGGGGGGGGGGGGGGGGTTGAAAACAACCCCTCTGAGATCTCGAAAACGGCGCAACGTAGCGACAAGCGGTAGACGGCGTTGGATAGGTTGAGATGTGATCTACAAGAAATACTAAGATCATTTTTGGGTCAGGTCAAAAACGAGGTCACCAGAGGTCACCGAAGACAAAATGTTACGATTTTCACAACAGGAATTTCGCGGTAGTTTTTCTTGAATAACTTGTCTTGCACACAAGACAGAGGATCGATTCGAACGCCATCGTTCTTAGCTCGTCAAGGCGCATCGAATGATATATAATATGACCTCGAAAGGTCAAGTTGAAAATTTGACCTCAGGTCAAGGTCATGACCTGACCGAAATAGGTCATGTTGCATATCATTCGATCCGCATTGACGAGAAAAACACGATAAACGTCGAACGGAGTCTCTATCTCTATTCAATCTCAAGTTATTGAAGAAAAACCGCTGGTGACCTCAGGTGACCTAAGATGACCTGGAGATCACCTTCCAAAGGTCATAAGTGATATGTTTCGGTGAAATCACCAACAGGGACCTGTAATACTATGATCCTGAGCGTATTGAAGTCATAGGATGGCATTCAGAGTAAGTTGAAATTTCTCCCATTGACTTATAATGGGCCGGTCGCAAAAATGACCTGACCTTAGGTCATCGATATAAAAATTCCGAGATATACAAGTTGTAGCTCGTGATGACTTTACTATTGCCTGTGGGTTTCAAGATCATATATCAACAACTGTGGGCTTGGTGGGATTGCAAACTTCGAAATTTACGTTTCGAGGTAGGGTCACTTGACCTGACCTGGTGACCTGACCATAGGTCACCTGGGGTCAAAATTTTTACTCAGGGTGTGCAAAAATTGGGAGAATAGGTATGCAAAATTTGGCGGCGCTACGCGCCGCCGTTTTCTCGCGATTTGCGAAAAACCACAGAGGGGGGGGGGGTTGAAAACAACCCCCCCTGCAGTGCGCGTGTTAACTCTTTTATTGGAGTGGCCCGAAATTAACTCAACATCACCCTGGTGTTCGAACAACGGTGTATCATGACATCGCCATCGGCGTCGATGACGCAGTATCATTTGATGACGCCGATGACAAAACTACCACCATGGTGTTTAATCGAGCGCGAGCTGAGTCTGGATCGTCTCAGAGGCAAACGGACAAAAGTTACCGCCCGGTTGAGTTCTCACGGATCTCTCAGAGCGTTCTCACGACTCTTCTCTGAGGCGATCGATCGTCGCTGAAAGCCCGGGAGACACAGATACCAAGGATTTCAGGAGGAACTGAGACACGGTCGCCAGATGACGACTGATAAAAAAGAAAGAAAGAAAAACGTCGAAAGGTGATGCGAAAAAAGGGGTGCAGGGTTCACCTAATGAGTGCTTTGTTAGCTATGTGAATCATGACATCGAAGTGTAACTAAGTGGTGTAAGTAGTGGCATCGGTAACTTTAACCAACACAAGATAGAGGCATCAGACAAAAATATTCGCATCAGCCATCAAGTACCGCGTCAGACCTCAATTGAAACGTCATACTAACGACGCTGTCAGCGTCCGGCCGTCAATAATTCTGTATGATTATTTTAGAAAAGTTACGAGAGACTGGAAGATGACCATCAACGTTATTACTGATGGCGAACTAAAAACGAACCGAGATAACTTAAGGCCGCCCCACACTGGACCTCGCATGCGGGTTGCGAGTTTGCGGGTTTTGAGTTTGCGGACATAATACTAATTCATAGAGTGATTAGACCTTTCCCTCATGGTAACTTCATGATTGCAGTGAAGCCGGCACACCTTCAGAAAATTACATATTGTCGCAATACCAGCGTAACGAACTAAAATTCGACTCCAACGAAAAACCCGCAAACCTCGCAGAACTCGCAGACCTCGCAGCGAGGAAAATCGAAAGTTGACTCAAAATCAACTTTTGGAATGCGATGCAAGGTGGCTCGCAAGCTAAGAACATGCAGACTCGCTTGTTAAACCCGCGCCGTGCTGGGGGGGGGGCGTTTTTACGCCCCCCCCTCAGGTTTTTCGCGAATATCTCAAAAACGGCGGCGCGCAGCGCCGCCGTTTTTGGTACACGTGTTCCTACATCATTTCCGCACATGTTGTGAAAATTTCAGACCTAGGCCGTTCAAGGTCAGGTCACCAGGTCACGTCAAGTGACCTTACCTCAGAAAAAGTTCAAAGGCTCGCTATAGCTACACCGACTGAACGATCACTTTGAAACTTTCAGCGATTGATATGAGTAACAGTATGTATAAAATGTATATCTCGGATTTTTGATATCTGTGACCTAAGGTCAGGTCAATTTTGCGACCTCTCCATTATAAGTCAATGGGAGAAAATTGAAATGCGCCTCTTTTGGACGAATATCGTTCAAAACGCTCTCAAACATCGGTTCATAGGTAAACATGACACACTGAATAGGAAAAATGCACCTGTGACCCCTCTGTGTGCCCCTGAGGTCATCTCAGGTCATGAACGGTCGCCAGCAGTTTTTTGGCTATAACTTTTGATAGAGACGTGCTAGAGCGGTGAAAACACGTCAGATGTGTTCAGCTCGACGATACGGATCGACTGATATGCAACATGACCCTTTTCGGTCAGGTCATGACCTTGACCTGAGGTCAAATTTTCAAAATGACCTTTCAAGCTCAACGAATAGTTCATTCGACGCGTCTCGACGAGAGGAACACGATGCTGGCAAAAGTAATGTCATGGCGCTTATGAGTCAAAAGTTATTGACGAAAAAACGTTTTTCGTAAAAACGGCTATTTTTTTAGTTTTTGCCCTCTGGAGGCTAAACCGTTGACCTGAGGTCAAATCTGAGAACATTACTCAGAAAGGTCTGTAAAAGGGCTATCGAATGCGCTTTTCCGCGGCGCTGTAGCTCTATCGGTTCCCGAGATAGCCGTTGGCAGTTTCCAAAATGTTGAAATAGTCAACATTTTACCTTTGGTGACCTCTGGTGACCTGACCTTTGACCTGACCCAAAAAATGACCGAAGTGTTTTCGTCCTTATTTTTGACGCTCTTTCGATTGCCGCTTACCGCGTGTCGCTACGTGGCCCAGGAGCCGAGTTAGACGGGGGGGCGTGAAAACGCCCCCCCCCCCCAGCACTCGGCGGAAAGTTCAGGCCACCAGCACGGCGCGGGTAAATGGTAGTGTGGGTCACTCAGCATAGATTGTATTATTTAATTTTGAAGAAACCCGAAAACCCAAAAACCCGCAACCCGCATGCGAGTTCCAGTGTGGGGCGGCCTTTAGGCAAACTGTTTTTATCACATTAGTTCTCATGCAATCGAATAAAGGAAGAGAAGGGATTTGCACAAACTTATCCGATGAACGGAGAAAAAACAACGATGCAAAAAGAAAAGAAAAAATGAAATGCTACGAGACTGAACGGTGAGAAGGATAAGCATGACTTAACGAGTGGTACTGAATGGACGCACTTTTGTTGTGATGGTCACCCGGATGGCCAGAGTTATTCGGGTCTGGTTCAGTGCCAGTGGCAGTGGCACTCAGATCAGGGTCCAGTTAATTGTCAGTGTCATGTGGGTCGGTGTCAGTGTCACCAAGGGTAGGCTCAGTGTCAGTGTCAGTGTCACCGAGTTAAGGTTCAGTGTCAGTGTCAACAAGGCTAGGCCCAATGTCAGGTTCAGTGTCAGTGTCAGTGTCAGTGTCAGTGTCAGTGTCAGTGTCAGCCGACTCACCGATGTCCCAGTCGGCCATTTGGTCAGTGTCAGGGTCTAAAAGGTTAGGCTCAGTGTCAGTGTCAGTGTCACCGAGTTTACGTTCAGTGTCAGTGTCAGTGTCAGTGTCAGTGTCACCGAGGTTAGGTTCAGTGTCAGTGTCAGTGTCAGTGTCAGTGTCAGTGTCAGTGTCAGTGTCGGTGTCGGTATCTCTCGACTCACCGATGTCCCAGTCGGCTGGGTGCTGCTGTCGCTCCCTGTCTGCCAGCACGTACCACACACAGGCCAGCCAGTGTGCCGCCAGCGAGAACAGCACAAGCAGCAGCGTCAGGATCATGCTGCTGTACTGCGTGTACCGGTCGATCTTCTGCAGCAGTCGCACCAGCCGCAGCAGCCGCGTCAGCTTCAGAAGGTGGATCGGCGTCTCCTGAGGCCCAGAGGTCAGTCAGAGGGGGTGGAGGGGGGTCTCCCACCGCCCAGGGTGGGTGGGTGAGACTGAGGGGACAAGCGTGGACGTTGAGGTGACCCATCAACCCGGTTTTTGGCCCTGTCATATCGACAGATTAGTGTTTAGCTGGCTCAGTGCCCCAATGCTTTCAAATTCTCTTGGACTTCCAACCGTTTCTCTCCAGCGCCAGACCTTTCAGGCCAATCGGACAAAATTAGACAAATCTATAGATTTTGCGGTGTTGTCCGTAGCTGCATCGCAAGAATTTTCATTATTAGACGGCTATGTAAGCCATTGGATGTGTGTTATTATAACGTCCCAGCCTCCAGCATTGCTCCTCTATATAGATAAGTTAGAGAAGTGCATGGTAATGAACTTACCGTAGCATTTAATTTGATGCCAAGTTAGATCGAGTTACCGAGTTTTGGCCCTACGGGAACCGCATGGCTAGCCTCTCAGACCCTCTACAGCCGTATCGACAATTGCCAAGGGCACGTAATCATGGAACAAACTACTCCGGATGTGAAGTCCCAGAAGAGTTTCAGTCCTAGTCAAAATGTCGGTACCGTGACAGCTATGGCTCTTTAGTCGGTAACTACCCGGTATCTACTCTTAGTTTGGATAGTCCGAGACATGAACTTCCCTATCCCCTTCCAGTTCCAGCTGATCAATATCGCACACAAAGGAGCCAGGTGACACTCCGGTCGGCTGGCGCACCGCACCTGAGTGTGATTTGTGCTCCCCGAGGAGGCAAATATTTCCCGTCAGTGGCGAGACTTCATTCCGGCGAGTGGCACCGGTCATTCGGCGTTACCCCTGGGCATTCTCGGAGCCGAGCGGAATTAGAAAATGCAGCCAACTCTTGGCGTCACTGAGGAAATGATGCGGGATTTCATCCGGACTTCCGGGCTCCGAGTACTGAGCCAGTCACATTAAAAGCGCGCGTACCCAAATGCTCCTGACCCTGATAATTTAATATTTATGGGCAAGCTCATTCAATTTCAAAGTTCTTGTCAACCTTAGGTACAACTGGTGCTTACTTTATTCCGTAATCCCTTTTTTCATTGTTACATTTACATTACAAATCTACACCTAGTCTACAGTATGACCTCTTCAACATCCATGTTTATGCGCCTGTTTTTATACCCATGTTTCGTTTAGGGGAAATGGACTGTTGCGGCGGCGGTGCCATGTCCCCGCTGCGGGGAGACCCTGACCCGGGCTGGCACGGCAATCACCATTGAGTGGCCGACGTGGCTCCGCGCTCCCACTGCCAGATTGACTTCAGTAATCAAGTTGGCGACGAACGAGCCAACTCGGATGGCACCCATATCGAGCCGCCGGATGACGGCTTTCGAATTGCCCCTAATTGGTAATCAGGCTACAGCCTAAAGCGAAAGGCTAATTTGGACGGACAATAAATCGTGGCCAATCACATTTAAAGCAGTCACAGCTGGATTTATTAGGTCAGCCAGGCAGGGTCATAGTTTGACCTCCGAGTAATATCTAATGATTAATAAATGAATGAATTCAAATTGCTAGCTTTAACTATTTCTATCCACCTAGGAACAAGCAGCACACGCTGAGTTTGATTCTCAGAAAGACGATACGGTACTTACAAAACGCAACAGAACAAAAGCTGCTATCACAAAACTGGGTGCCTTCATTTTGGAACAGTATGGACTGTGGCATGTTTCATGCATTAGTTGAATTGCATAAGCCATGCGCCATTTCCATAAGCGAACGCAATACTTTACCGTCTTGATGAGGCACCATTAAGTAAGCACTAAGCAACGTCTCATTCTACTTAGTTCTTTCATTTTGAAATGCATTTTCAAAAGGACTTTGTAGCACAAGGTGCTCTTCACCGAAATATACAACGCAAAATTATCTTGCTTTTCAAGTTTCGAAATACTTTTTATAAACGGATGAAACCTTCATTATCCTCTACATTAACAATGCGTCGAATGTATTGGACAACAGGCATTGAAAATTGATACTACTGCATTCCTTAAGAAGCATTTAACTGTTTGCCTCCATTAAATGTCGTCTAAATGAAAAAATAGTTATTCCTACTATGATATGGACCTTCTCACTTTTGTCCTTATTTGATAGGTGATGAAATATGCATCCACGTCCTATATGACTGATAAAAACTAGGCATGCATGACTCGCGCTCTAACATGCAGGAAGGCCGCAAATAGCCAGCCACAATGCGTTCGGTGCAGAGCTGCATCACATGAACTTATGTTCTTAACCCTCGCCGGATCCATTGGTTTTCTACTTACGCGCCGGCCGAGAGGGGGGGGGGGTACAACCCCCTCCCTCGCCGTTTCGCCCCTGGTGGAGCTAGCGTGCCGTGGTTCCGTTTTTGGTGAATAATTTCGCAAAAAAAACCGGCCGCAGAGCCGCGATTTTGGCAGCATCGTGCTCGTCGCCTTGCTCAGGTGCGTCGAATGATGTACTTTTTATTTGGGTGAGGTCAACTTAGGGTGCTGACCTCAGGTCACGGTCAGGTCAGCACTCCCAGGTCACGAAATTGGTCAAAGTAGGCCATGTTGCATATCATTCGATTTGGCAGGTCTTCCTGAGTCCATTGCTGGCTTGTCCGACTCGCTAGCTCAATTTGATCAAGAGTTATTGACGAAAAACTAATATGACCCTAATCACGTCATAAATGACGTCGCGCAAGGTCAACATTGCAAAAGTGACCCATGTAACCTTGCAAGGAGTGCACCAATTCACGATTTTGTGTGCTTGAGATAGTTAGAGATTGTTCCCGGCGCCAGAATAGCAGTTTTCGTTTTTTCCCATTGACGTATAGGTAATGGTGATGTCACGAAAATGACTTGACCTCATATGACCTTTAGGAAAAATCCGAGAGATAAAAGTTGTGGAACTCGTAATGGATATTAGATCCTGCAAATTTCATTTCCCTGTGAAAGCTCCTCTGGCAGTGAGGGCGTTGCGAAGTTGCGACACCTGAAGACCGTGCAGAAGCTCACTTATGACATCAGGTCAGTGACCTGACCTGACCCGAAAATGCGGTTGATGTCAAAAGATCCGGCTTGAATAATTGGTCAGGTATGCCAAGTTTCAGCTCTCTCTCGCCAGCGTGTTCGGAGCTATCGCGAAAAAAAACCTAGGGAGGGGGGCGGCACCCCCTCGGCCGGCGAGGGTTTTAGTTTAGTGCATTTCTTCAGTTCAGTTAAATCGTTATTCTAGTTGATAAAAGTAATCGCCAGTGATATATCTCATGAGTCAGTTTCTGTGATCACCTAAACAATTAAACCAGAAAGCGTGGATAATTTAAAAACATACTGACGAAAAACAGTAGGGCGATTGGAAATTTCTCGTTCATGTTAAACTTCATTTGTTATCAGCGATATTGAAAATGAAAGTATTTTCCCACTCTGTGATACAAAACACATTGGTATCACTCTTTCTAAACAACGTTTTTCGTTAATTGAACTGATGCAGCTCTGGTGAAACGCTCCAAAATTATAATTATTTTTGTTCGTCACTCTCAATGGTCACACCGTGCGTAAAGTACCTTGCCTTTCATGTTAAGAGCGCGCCATAGCTGAAAGAGGGAACACATATCATGCAGATGAATAAATAGGACTAGGCCACACCACCACAACACTGAAGCACAGCACGGGAGCCCAATTAGGATCAAAACTACAGCGAAGGGTGCTTGGCGTGCCTTCTAACAAATGTCACGGTATAAATTTCAACGTTGAAAGTTCGTTTTATAATAGCGATCAATTTTCCGTTTAAAAACTGATTAGACTTGAGCAGGTTCGTAACATTCCTTTATAACAGGCAAATCACAGCTATATTATATGTAAAGATGAAGCATCAAACTTGGCAGTATCATCCTCGTGTATAGGCTTGCGCCGTAAATGCGATGAGCCATACACGGTCCAACGTCTTTCGGTCGTACCCGCAGAAATCTTAGAAGAGAGCGTAAAAATGCCCCACCACGTAGGTACAATGCTTTGAACAATTTTCACCATGTCGTCTGTGTAGCGCGTACTTGTCATTCAAATAAAATGTGATAAATATCACAAACCACGTCAGTTATCGCTATGTAAATTTTGCCGTTTATAAATTTTCCAGAAGAGTGACACTAGCACAGTGGATGAGATCTAATAGATTCCCACAGAACGCAGGTGCTACGACAGACCCTTGAACAGCCCCTGTTCGCTGACAGACGGCCAGTGCCTCCTTCTCACCGAGCTGTAGACGTCGGCTGCGAACAGCAGGTCGAACGGCAGTGCCGCCAGCAGGTCCACGATGAACCAGCCCTTCAGGTAGTTGGTGGCGATGTAGCGCGGGTTGGACACCACCTCGCCCTTCTTGTTCACGTATGTGGTGCGAAAGTTGAGGATGATATCTAAGAAACGAAACACAGCGAGAGGTGAGAAACCCGGAAAGGGCTTGTGATTTTTGTCTTACACAGCTCGGCATCTTTTTTCATCTGACATCCAAGGATATATACAAAATGTATTTCCTTTTGGGAGAGAATGTCAATAAGCTGAAAGCATGAATTCCCATAATATGCGTCATTATATGACACAAAGTCACAATAACAGATTTTATTAAACACCCAGCGAACTGATATTTAAATGCTGCTGGCCGTTGGCATGCAACAATCTTTATCTTGGTCTAAGTCACGTTCAGGTATGAATGCTGGATCATAAACTACTATCTATGGCTGAATAAATTTGAGTCTCAGTTCTGTTTATACCAGTGTGAAAGACAACCTTCAATTTATAAGGTAATTAACTACAACACCATCTCAGCAATCATCACGCTGACCTTGTCAACAAGGACTTAAAATCTAATTTCGTTTTCCCGAAAAATGAGCGTGGCGCTCTCACGAAACCGTCTCCGGTTTTGTTGAGTGCGCGTCTTTCTGCGTGACGTGCGCTCGGGACTCCGGTCACGGATGATGCCGTGACCCGGTTCGGGCCACTCTGAATCGGTCGTCGTGGGATTTCACTGGTCACGCACCGGCCCAATCAGGCGGAACGGTGGACTGTTTTCGCCTTCAGCCGCCGCGGCTGGATCGATTGCCGAGGTAGAGGATAGATACGGGACTTAGGCCGCCTGATGATACTCGGGGAAGGGCGAACAACAACCGGAGAAAGGATGATGGTGATTGGTGACTGGTGATTGGTGGATTGGCGATAATAATTGGTGTATATTGATTGGTGATGACAAATAGCAGGATACGAGTGACCTGCTCTTTGCGAATGCCGACTTGAAGCTGGTGATGGAAAACTGATTGTTGATGATAAGTGACGATTATTGATTATTTCAGGAATACTTGTTGAATTTGGTATTTAGTAGTTCATTTTAGGCATTTACTCCTAGAGTAAAGAACACACGGTTATGGCGAGGCATATTGCTGAAAAGAGAGATATCTCTCTTTCTTTCTCTCTTCCTCTCCCGTTTCTCACCGCTGCTTCAGACTGAACTGCGCTGCTTATAGATAGCACATCTGATAGACTGTTCCCTGGCCCTGACGTCCCTGACATGCGAATCTATTCTTCTGAAAAACAGATATTTCTGCAAAAGCTTTATATCACCGGAGCTGCTTTTCCATTGGCTTTGAAGCTTGGACATAAAAAATCGTAAAAATGCGGAGAACGGTCACTTTGCTTCGTCCCTCTCCTCTCCGTCGCTCTCCTCGCCTATGAGAAAGAGCTCACGATCGTTCTGCTCCGTCCTCTCTCTCTCTCTCTCTCTCTCTCTCTCTCTCTCTCTCTCTCTCTCTCTCTCTCTCTCTCTCTCTCTCTCTCTCTCTCTCACCTATGAGAAAGAGCGCCTCGACGACGACGTCGCTGACCACGGACGGTCGGTCCCGGTCCATGACGAAACTGGCGTTGTACGGCACAACCACGGCCACGTAGAAAGTGGCCACAAGTATCAGCCAGTCCCAGCACGACTTAAAAATACCTGCAAACAAAACACACACAAAGGTGAATACAATGAATGTGTTTCATAGATAGTGGATGTTGGGTGGATATTTTCTTCAACTGCAACAAGTTTCATACACTATGGAACAATGCATTGTTCCATGGTCCCATGGAACCATGGAAGACCCATGGGTCTTACCTCGTGCTTTGGCAAATCATATCTTTTCCTTTAAACATTTATACACAAGTTCATACGTGGTGGGTATATAGCATTATACCTGGTAAGTACATAAACATTCATAAGTGGTGGCCCGGTGGGTATATAAGCTTTACTTGATCCGGTCTGATCTGTCATCCCACTACTGGCCCAAACAGTCCTCATATCGCCCGGCTAATTATAACGTAAGACCTGTTTTTCCCACAGAGGCTTATCTCTTTTGGATAATGCCTGCGCGTTTAAAGTGCACCATAAAAGGGCCATAAAGATAGATAAGACTGCCCGGATACTTGGGAATTACTCTCGTTAGTCTGTTGGTAAAATTTGGCCCGCTATATAAAATGGTAGAAATTGGAAAGAAGTGTGCAGGTGCATAAAGCTACTGACATTGGAGCGTTTTAAACGTCGCCGACCTTATACCGAAGAACTCTCTCTCTCTATCTCTCTCTCTCTCTCTCTCTCTCTCTCTCTCTCTCTCTCTCTCTCTCTCTCTCTCTCTCTCTCTCTCTCTCGCTCTCGCTCTCTCTCTCTCACTCACTCTCTCTCTCTCTCTCTCTCTCTCTCTCTCTCTCTCTCTCTCTCTCTCTCTCTCTCTCTCTCTCTCTCTCTCTCTCCCTCTAGCACCTGTAAAACACATCTGCACAAGCGTAACAAAGCTGCACTGAATGTGCTTATTACTTCAAAAAGAAAAACAGTCCAGGCTTTTCTTATCACGGGTAATATTATGTGAATGCTTTTAATACTATGATGAGGCATTATGAGAATATTAGATATACATTAGGTACTTCCGCATAATTTCAGGAACTGTGGTATTTCAACTATTACTTGCTTATTTATCATATCATATTTCCTACGTCCGAATTTGTTCTGTTCTATATTGACTAAAAGATACGTTTGAATTCACGGCACTTACCATAATGAGACAGAACAAACTTGGATCTCTTGGCAGACACAGTTTTGTACTCGGGAAGTGGCGCCGTTGATCCAGGCTGGAGCAGCGACTGCAAAAAAGGCGTTCGAGTTTGCATCCTTCCTAAAAAAACACCCGCATTCGAGAGGAAAAAGCGGATGTGTAGCATCTGAACGCGTAATGCTAAATTAGAAAACAACAGTAGTAATTCAGCCCCTGAAAGAAGAATGCAATATAGTGTATGCAACAGTTACATACATTTACCTCCACTGGAGTAGCGTAAGTATTACTTATGGGTACTTAACCCGCGCCCTGATGGGGGGGCCATTTTGGCCCCCCCTGTGGTTTTTCTTAAATAGCGAGAAAACGGCGGCGCGCAGCGCCGCCAAGTTTTGGGTACCTTACCGGGCATCAATTTGACACCTTCACACAAAATTTCAAGTCACAGGTCACCTCAGGTCAGGAGTTATTGAGGTCAAACTGAGGTCATGTTCGAGTAAAAATGAGCAAAAAACATGACATCTTGAAACGCTCACCAATTCTACAGTTAACAAGCAATTTTAAAGTTCTTTATGTGGTTGTGTAGACAAAAGACGGCGCTACAAAACTGCTATCTCGGATTTTCGAAATTTTGGGATGTTGACCCCAAAAATAAAAAAATTGATTTTTTTAGAAAAACTCAAAAATTTTCCAAAAATTTTTCGAATTTCGAAAAAACCGGAATATATGTGATAGTCCCTGCGCTCTTCGATATACATACCAAATTTTAGCTCGATACCTCTTTTTTGGCCAAGTTATAGCGAAAAAAACTGTTAAAAATTGATGACGTCAAATTTTTGAACTCAATTTTTAGCAATTCTAGACGTCGTAGCGCAAAACGGAGACAACCATTGAACTCCCCGTGACGAGCTGCATCGAATCGATACCCATTTTATGCAAAAATATCAACTTTGAAATTTGACCTAATTTGACCTGACCTTGACCTGACCTTGACCTGACCTTGACCAAAACGTGACCTAAGCTGGCCCTAAAGTCTGTCTGACCCACATAATCGCATTTGTCATGTAAAATGGACCATAAAACATGTATCACATGACACTTTCATATTGTGACCCCCCAGTGACCTGACCTCTGTGACCTGACCTGGTATCAGTGACCTCAAATAGCAAAATATGTGTTTGAAGAACATTTCCCCATCGATGATTTTCAATGAAATGCATTTTACACGATTTTACAACGCATTTCTTGAAATGCCTGTAAACGGTGAAAATTCGACCTTTGACCTGACCTGTGACGTCATCGGTTTGACCGAGGTCAATGAAATTGGGTCACAAGGTAGTTCCCCGTTGGGGCTATCCAACACCGTTTACCGCTTGTCGCTATGTTGCGTGGTTCTCGAGATCTGAGGGGGGGGGGCCAAAATGGCCCCCCCATCAGACCGCGTTGCTCGGCAGACCCCATCTGGGCGCGGGATAAAAGAGTGCATTAATGAAAAAAAACATGTTAAAATGCTAGTCAATAATACACGTCTAACAATTGTACCGTTTGGAAAACATCTATAGCTTTTGTTTATCTTCTGATGATTGTTCTGCAAATACCCTTAGATAGTTCCTTTTATCCTTGATACAGAAGTTCGCTCCGATAAATCTTACCCTCTGAGCACCACTGCCGCCAGGTTCAAAGACAACCCGACCCCACTCCCACTAGCGCCGCCACTCGAGTTATGTGTGTCGAGTGCGGTACTCACGTTATTGAGCTTTATTTTGGACTTTCTCTCCTGCGTATAGTGGCCGGAGAGCTGGTAGAGCACGGCTCGCGAGCGCCGCCGCTGGTAGTTGATCGGGGGCGCCTCAACGTCTAGCTCGTTGCCGTTCGGATCTGGGGGGGGGGGGGGGGGGGTCAGGGGTGACGGTCGGTAAGGGGCAACTGTCGGTCAGGGCGGTCGGTCAAGATGGTGCATTGGTCAGAGAAAGTGACCGAAGGGGGTTGGTCAACGATGGTTAGCAGAAGGCGATCAGTCAGGGGCGGTGACGATGGGAGATGACGAGAACTGGAGTGATAACAGAATTATATCTCAAAAGGTCCTGCCTTTTGACAAGACAGCTTGGTTTATTGAAAGGTTCAAAGAGAGCTCAGCATCAATAATCAATATTCTACTATCGTTCCTGGCATCCTGGGCTTGCGTATGATCTCAGTAACTCAACTTGACAACAGAGGAGCCGGCTGAAAGGACACGACCGGTATCACAAGTATAACACATTGAAGGAATCTTTAAAGAATGCCTGCAGCAGATATGAAAGCAGCAATCCATGTCCAAATTGAACGTGGGAGTGCTATAGATCTCCGGTCTGCCGCTTTCTTCTGTGCCATATATGTAGGAGACAAAAGTATTGAAGTGTATGATTCAAAGCCAAAAGGTTTGTGAGGCCCCGCGCTCAGGGGAGATTTATCGTCCTGGAAACGTCAAACTGACACCAAAAGAAATCACTTCGACGATTTCAGATGGAGTATGCCGGATAGATACTACAAACGTCGAAGCAGATGTGTCTGTGCCTGCTGACATCAAAAAGGAGAGAATCATTTCCATTCCCCTGCTGAATATACGTACTCTTCGAGCCGGAGCGAAGTCCAACATCGCTTGTCATTTAAACTTTATCCAAGGAGAATATGACAAATTAGAATATAATTGATTGAACAGCGGAGCTCGTAACAATTTATGAAGATCAGACTCAAGGCATATATTAGTTTGAACTGGGAAGTTAATCTTGCGATAGAGTATGCTTTATGTAACGAGAAACGTGCCAAGCGAACCCATAATGTCAGAAATGTAAAAGAAAACGCAACGAAGTTATATTCATTCGTACAAAAGCTTACTTTTGCAATAGAACTGCACTATAAACAAGGCTTGTTGCATAAAAAAGCAAAATGCTGCGGTTATACAACAGAAGATCCACAAATAATTGTTACACAAAACAGTATCTAAGGAATATGAGAGAACTTTCAGGAAAGGAGTATAGCACGTATAACGCATGCCACCTGCACGCTTGATTCACCGTGACTTCATGCACTCAAGTCTGCATACAAGTTCAATACTTTTGCATAACGGTTCGGTAACGAAAACACTGCAATACAAACTTTAGCTCGTGGCAGGACGATAAAAACAGGCCATTTTCTGCAGCGACCTGACGCGAACGATCGGCGTTCACCGAAACAATACGCGGGCGATCATCCGTTGCCGCCAGGGCTCTCCATTTCGCCGCCGGGCAGATCAGTATTCTGGTCCGTGCTCCCGGCTGGGGAGCCCGCTGATTTACGAGCGGTTCGCCGATCCAAACATCGACACCAGGCTCCTCCGGTGACGCCCAGACTAGCAGAGAGGGCACGTCCGAACAACCGGTGCCAACCGGAACATGTAACCAGATGATGTTGGACGAGCAGGGGACAGCAACACGGCAAACTGGTGAGCTGGGGAGATAACTGACTGACTTGGACAAACAGGGAACTGATGAACTGACATGGCTGAACCAGAGTGACCTACCGAAATGGATTAGAACATTTGCACTATCTTACAACGTAGAAAATATGTGTAACATTAAATCGTATTACGCAAAGACACATCTCGTAAGAGCAACGTAAGAGGTTATTCAATTAAGATCAACCAACCGCGAGAGAAGCCCAGGAGAGCACATTCCAATTTGTCGGATGTATAGAGCCGACCTTTGGCAACGCGCGAACCAATTTCCGTGGCTAAGGCGGCAGCTAATCAGGCGACGCTTTCCATCTGCGGTGTAGATTGGAGGAATTTGATCGCCAGCGCTCCTCACTAATGATTAAGCTTGGCAACAGTATAGCGTGTGGGTGACACTCTTCCATGAATGTGTGCGTGATTGCCGCCTATTCAAGCTCAGAAAACAGCTATCGTAGAATGAATGCCTGCGATATTTCTGGTGCCATTACTACTTCTTTTCTATAATACGAAAAAAACGCATAGAGCGGCAAGCTTATTAGCAGCTGTATCAACAACATTTGTGATTTGTCGACAGCCTTTATCGACACTTGGCAAGTAATTTTCGCGTCGGTCAAATCGCAGTTTGCTTTATTCGTTACGCTCAGCATTGTCCGAGCCCAACAAAAAGCAAACTACACAACCAATGATGAATACTGATGACGTTAGGACGGGTGGTATTCTACCGCCCGGCCTAACAGGGGCACGGAGACCTACCTCGCTCTCCGTTGTCGCACAGATGATCGTCGTCCTGATCCTCGTACGACAGCGTGGACATCTGCGCCACTTTGGTCGGCGTTATGTCTTTGTGCGATGCCAGGAACAGAACCACCTCCCTCTTCTCGTTCTTGATCGGAACAATGTCCAGTAGGCACCAGAACGGAGAGCCTGAGACGGGAAAAATCGATATCAGTCAAATCAGCATAGCTTCAACCAAGGCAACAAGACATGTTTTTGAGTTTTTCGATTAACTGAGACATGAACGCTTAAATCAGTGTAAACCTTGAAACAAACCAGTCTTGTTCCATCTTATGACGGTTGAACCAAGATAATAAATTAAAACATGCCATGTCTGCTGGCCACTCACCATTTTTCCTGTAGAACATGACCTCCAGTTTGAGCTCGGTTTTCTCCTGCAGGGCCAGCTCGATCTGTCGACGGTGGTCCTCGGCCGTATCTGCGCCGTACAGAAACCGGCACGCGCAGCCCTTCTGCATGATCTGGGCGCGCGCGAACCCCGTGAGGTCGCAGAACCCGTCCGAACAGTAGACGATCGGAAATGTCGCCGACACCTTGGCATTTCCCAGCACAAAATTGCTGTCTGAAAAAGAAAGATGGAGTGGTTAGGGACTTTGCTAAGGCTGTAGGCATGTAACTTCTCAAGCTCTTTCTAAGAGGGTGCATTGTGGGCAGGCTTGACAAATGTTTCAGACGGCGTTTGTGCTTACCATACCTATGTTTGTGACCATACCTAAAAGCAGCCTGTGTGCCATAAGTGTATTCATATTTACAAACCTGTAGTTTTTTTTTGCATTTTACAACTTTTTGACAGTCATGTTGGGCGCTCAAATACAGACACGGTTGACAAATCATGACATGCATATTGCATAACTCTCCTTATAAATATAAAGGTCAGTGGGTTACGACATGTGTTGTTGTAAAGTTTGATGACGCATCCGCTGAACGACTCTCTGGCACGGAAGAAATTTCAATAAAAGCTTCAGAAGTTGCTGCATTTCACCTTTGGGGGACATCCCTTGATGATGTAAAATTGCGGGGCTCAGTTTTAGGAACTTCATTAAAGCAATTGGGCAGTAAACTGTAAGCATACAATTTGACCGTGTTTATAGAATCAACAGAGATAATAAAATCAAAACAATAGGCAATAGCATAAATGAGCTAACGGGTGGTCATGCCATTTGGCATGGCTTTTAAGATCTCCTGTATGTGTTGTTACTGAACTTACCGCGCTCACATTTAGTTATGTATATTAACTGTGTCAAAATGTTCGATATTGACGAATGTATAATGTATATGCCAGCCTCCAGCAACAACAGAAAATTAACGTGTATCGGAGAACAATCACCAGTGGGAGCGCCAATCAGCTTTCCGATATCCAATATTCATTCATTTACAGCAGTGGCAGGGGAGAACAGGCACAGAAGGTGTAGTTGATTATCCACTAGGTAAATAGACAAAAATACACATGGTTACAACATTATTCGTGTTCGCTTCTTCTAGCTGTTTCTGCAAGAAAAAGAGCTGACTATGTAGATAAGGTAAAACACAGAAGGTAGAAAAGAAAAGACCGTTTACCGATAGCCTTCAGAAAGATATTGAGATATTTTGATCTGTCCCGCTTTGACATTCGATAAGAAAATCCGAACGGTAATTCAATACGGTGCAGTCTGCACGTTCTATGCATCTATACATTTACGTTGCAAAGTGGTGCATGGCTATTAATTACTATAGTCATCGCACTGTCTCCATGGTATACTCAATCGATTTCAATCTTCCAATAAACCACTTCCCACATTCCTCGCTGCCTCAATATAGCTAATGACATAACCTCGGTCGTGTGTCCCCCGTGCCCCTCCCGCCCTGCTAACCATCCGCCCAGTTACAGACCCGCTTTACAGCGTTCGATCGGCGTTTGTCACCGGTTGGATCGATCCGGCTCGGGGTCAGTCTGCGGGCCGACTGACCACCACTCAAACGCCACTGGTTGGCGTTCCGGGCTGGACTGGACTGGCAGCACCCACTGGCTGGGTGACGGGAGCGCAGATATTGGCCACGAGCTGATGGACGAGCCAGGGGAGTGGACCTGCTCCCCAGGGTGAGGACAGGACGCGAGACCCGCCGCTGGGCGGGGACAGTCGACAATCTACACTGGGGCAGCGGTGTGAGTTTTATCCATCACAGGGTGGTAGGATGTTCGATAGATATGACTTATAGGAAAATGACATTAAGAATTCAAATTGTAAAGCCATGCGTGACTTTCAATTATGTTTTATAGCTCCGCAAATCACTCTCGCTGTGAGTGTTATGGACGATTATCAGCAGCCATTTTAGGAATCATGTCAAATTTCTAAGTTCTGAATCGCTACCATTATCCGTCTGGCAATATCTCTGTTGGCCATTACAACCAAAACCGCGATATCTATAAGTGCAGCCCTGCCTTATACTGCTTCACCCCACCACACCCAGTGGTATCCAGTCTCCCCCAGCCCTTGTCTCAAGACTGGCTCAGTCTCTTTCAAAGGCGACCAGTCTTTTCTCAAGATTGGACCGGCCCTTCTCGCTCCTGTGTCGCCTGCAGTGCGTCGCCGTCGTCGCCGCGGCGCTGTTTTCGCCGCGCCGACGGTTATCGGCGGTAATCTTCCGCCGATGGCGTCGCCAGCGACCATCACGGCCGCCATTCTCGACGGCGGCTGTCGACGCGCCGATGGATATAAACGACGAGCATAAAGCAGGCCGACGCGGTAAACAGAGCTGGCCATGCGCCGGACACGGCCGGCCGTCTGGACGGCCGTGACCTGAGGACCTTCTGCACGGCCGAACGAGCGCCGACAGAGCGGCCGAGGGCGTGATCGGCCGCCGGGCAGCGCCGACCCGAGTGGGGTCGGTATTGAAACCCATCCGGCGTGCCGCGGACGATGTGAGCGCGCCGAGATGACGCTATTGTGGGCGCGGCGGCGGCGCTGACCCGCGCCGCGATAATGGGATGCGAGTCGGGGCAGCCGGAATCAATCGGCCGGTGCGGCCCGCGGGGCCGATAACGGGGATGGCGCTCCTTGGTATGCCGACGGGATGGGCGCCACAGGCCCGGAGGCCACCGGCCGCCGCCGTAATCCGAGCCGGACCGAATCGGACGCCGGCCTCCGGGCGGAGTGGCGCTAAGCCCCGGCTTACGCTCGCTGCGCCAGGGTTATAGGTCACCCGGTGCAGGTCAGAGGGTCGCGCTGGACACTCTCGGCTGGATATGGGTAGGTATTGAGCAGTCGACCACGCAGCGTTGAACTCTTAAATCATAGGTGGCGGAACGGGGAGGGCACCGCACGCTGGGCCGGCGGACCGGAAAAGCGCTAGAAATACCCCCAAGAGTGACTTTCCACAATATGAACAAAATATGCATCATTCAATCCCAAATTGATCAAAACATACGATTCTGATGCCATTTTTGCCCTAAGGTCGAAATTGAGGTGGTCAGTTGTCACCAAACACAAGACTATTTAGACCCGCTAGTGGCCACCACATTCGCCGATTTTAATGCCAATCTTTAGTTGATATTTATTAGTTGACCAGTTGTCGTTTTGAACGCAATTTTCTGTCAGACTAGTTCAGGGCACTGTTGTTCACTGTACACTCGGGGGCAGATTGATGTTCCACAACTCTTTATCCACCGGGTTCCTATGGCTCAGCATTGGCAGCAGCCGCCTGGTACCGGTAGACTGTGCCGCTTCACTTACTTGTCAAGCGGCACAGCCTACCCACCCGTATGACACCGGTCTGGGTCGGTGGCTGGAAGGTGATGTGGGCCGCCTGTGACGTCAGCGCAGCGGTGAGGGCCGAGCCCGGAGGCATGGCTCGGGTCGGCGCGGCGCGGCGGCTGGCGAGGGCTGGGGAGTGAGGTGGGGTGGGAGCACGGACCATCGCGCGGCTGAGCGAGTGTAGTTAACTTTCGCGCCTCAAGGCGCCAATTATTCTACCTAACAATTGTGCTAAAGCAGTTGTTAAGATATCCTATCCCCAAGACAGCGCCTATCATCATACTTGCCATGCACATTACGACACACTTAAGCGTGGCAATGGGACAGCCGATAGAACTTATGTCACTCGTGCATCGAGGTGCGGAGCTATATTTTGTATATCATATTAGTATTAAGGCCTTGATTGAGCAGATTGGTGTCTATTGTTTCGCACGGCAATCGTCCAGAGACGTGGGAACTGGGGGTTATGAGTAGTGCCGCAGCCAGCGCCCCAATTTAAAGCGATTATTACTGTTGCTCTAAAATGTGGTCGCAGCCCCCAATAGCAAACCGTTCTAACTAGGAGGTAAAAAGTCGGCCACTCAGGGGGGTTCGAACCGGGCTTCTCCCACCGGCCAATTCACGACACGAGCGTTCATCCACTGAGCTACCGAGAATGGTCCTCGTCTGCACAAAACAAAATGACATTGACCCGCTGACCGCCAATGACAGTATTGTGACATTTGATCGCGCTTGACCGCGGCGGGTGGTCGCTGGTCTCAGCAGCTCAGTGGATACACGCTAGCGTCGTAGGGTGACCGGTTCGAGAAGCCCGGTTCGAACCGTCCCAGGTGCGCGACTTATTTGTTCCTAGTTGGAACGGTTTGCTTTTGGTGGCTGCGACCACACATTAGAGGAACAGTAAGAGCTGCTTAAAGTTGGGACGCCGCGCTATCCAAAAACCCCAGTCTCTGGACGATTGCTGTACGAAATAATAGACACCAATGAGCTCAATCAAGGCCTTAACCCTCGCCCGCACAGGGGGGGGGGGGGTGGTTGCCACCCCCCCCAGGTAGTCTTTCTGCTCTGCACTCAACATTTTTAGAGCTAGAAGGCTGATTTTTCGTATAGCTGCTCCTCTATCCTTTCTTGATGTCCACTGAAAATTTCAAGTTTCTGTGATTTTTGGTTTCGGAGATATGACCTTGTTTTTCAGGTCATGTCATGACCCAAATGGCCAATTCTCAACATCTTGCGTTTGCCATGGGCCTTATGAGCTTTTGACACCCTGATTTCGGCCTTTTTTGCCAGTCTTACCTCCTACCTATCATGGAACATGTTGTTCGACGATGTACAGGGGTCAAGGTCAGGGTCAAGGTCAACCTAGGTCACCTAAGATAATTGCGTTTTAGGCAAGCTGAATTTACTTTTTTGTAGTTTTTTGACTGCATTTTTGGTAAAAGCTTCTCAGATCATGATTTCATGTAATATGGACCCAAAAACAATCGGAACACACATCAGTATACACACAGACACACACAGACATACAAACACATATAATTGAACTTGACCTAACTTGACCTGAAATGACCTCAGCAGCAAAATTCTGGTCGGGTAGTGTGACAAAGAGGTTCTAGCTGGCTTGGCACCAGAAAACAGCATCGTCATCGGTATTTGATAAGCAGCACACTTGATATCCAACGGTGACCCAAAACAGCAACATTTTTTAGTTTGACCTGACCTGGAAGGTCAATGACTGACCTGAGAAGGTAAAACTGGGTATCATTGGATTTGTCTCTTCCCAAAGAATCTTTTTGGTCTTTACTGCTAAGCTCTATCTCCAACAGGAACG